CCAACCCCACCAGTCTGGGATTCTGTGACATTTTTATTGCTGTCAAGTCTACATTTTAAATATCTTCTGTGCAATGAATTGTTGATCCAGCTGCTCTGTTCCCAGGACTCCCTCTCCCTTCTGTTCCAGCAACAAACCTCCTCAAAGGGCAGTTCTGTCTTTAAAAGAGCTTGGATCATTATTTAAGTCAGGAATCTCTGTGTCACTGTGCCCAGTGACAGCCGTGGAGGGGTGGATGATGAATTATTACTGCCTGTACCTTCAGAGTGGGCTGATCCACCGATTGTAGCGCAATCCCACAGCATTTAATCTTGCAAATCTTGGGCTGGTGATGCTGACAAGTGAAAAAGCAGTTCTTGGAAAGGGCATGTTTTTTCTTGTTGTATTCTTGTGAGGACAAAGCTGGAATGAATCATGTGTGTACTGGGAAGGTGCTACTGCAGCAAAACGCCTGTGATTGCAGATGTCTTGCTGTGCCACGACGATGAGTTGGAAGGTCGCAGAATTGCTTTCATCCTGTACCTTGTCCCACCCTGGGAGAAAAGCGACGGGGGAACGCTGGACCTGTACAGCACAGATGGTGAGTGCTGTTTGGGAGCTTGGCCTCAGGTGGCCAAAAAAGGGTGAAGTTTATGCAGCTCTCTCCTCAAATGGTACAGGGGGGATAAAGAGTTTCTCCTTTGTCTGGAGAAGCTGATGGATCAGTAAAATTTGCACCTTAGAGATGGGCTGTAGCAGGCTTTGCAGACAGTGCTAATGGCTGACAGCAGAGGGACAGGAGAAGGTCATGAAGAGGGGAATCCTTTTTTTCAAGGGCCGAGAGCAGAGGCAGGATGAAAGCGATGCCAGTAACTGTGCTTGGAACTCTAAAGTGATGGAGATAACTTCCCATTCCAGCAGCAGAAGTCCACTGATTCCTCATCAAGCCCTTGCTCTGAGCTCTGTCCCTTATACCCAGGTGTCTCTCCAGTCACAGTGCCATGAAGTCAGAGAGAAATGGCAATTTCTAGTGAGTTCCAGCTCACATCTTAACCAGAGTCTGTTTTCTTCCTCCTCCTCAGAACACTTTCAGCCACAGCAGATCATGAAGTCATTGGTGCCTTCCTGGAACACGCTGGTTTTCTTCGAAGTGTCTCCAGTCTCTTTCCACCAGGCAAGGAGCTCTCTTGTTCATTTTTTGATTCTCATGACTGCAGTTACTCACTCTGGGTGTTATTACAGTCCTGATGGGGAGGGAGAGGGGAAAGGGAAAAGTGTGGGTAGAGCAGATACTCATGCTATGTGCTGTGTGGTAAAGGCAGGACTTCAAGGAGAACAAGAACTGTCAAAGGCAACTTTAAACTCTCAGTCCAGCTTCATCATCCTGGGGAAGGAAAAACTTCCATTTCTATTTTGTGTTGCTATCCTGGCAACACAAAAATAAAAAAATAACAAGCCACTGCTGTGGATTTGGCTGTGGTGACCAGAGAGATCTTTATTTGTTTATAGCTTGCTTTAAACTAGCTGACATTTTTCATGCAGATGCCATGACTTTGCTCCAGAAGAGCTTCTCAGCACATCACCTTGCCAGCAGGGCACTATGCAGATATGGCTTTATGCCCTCTGTAACATAATGTAGTGCCCTACCCTATAGCAGAAATGCTGATATGGTGAAGTAAAACTTTGTGGCACTTACCAGGAAGGTGTCTGGGAACAGGGTGAGTGGTCTGTGGAACGGCACGATGCAAACATCTGAAATCTCCAACTCCTGTGTGCTTGAGAATACCACGGGCTGTAACAGAGAGGGCCAAGGAGCAGAAGGTTGGAGAGGAAAATCAGTGATGTAGGCTGCTTAGGGCTTTATTTTTGTGTCATTTGTCTTACAATTAATTAGCAGAAGCATCTTCTTGGTCACTGCCTTAATTGTCTTCAGGTAGTGATTTAATCTCGTCATAAAAATCCATGTTGCACTTAACCTTGCAGCTGCCTCCTACTCACCTAAACTTAATCCCAGACACGAGCACTACTCAGAGTCCTGCGTGCTGTCTCTGCCACTGTTAACACAAGCAATAAACTCAGCTTAAATAATAAACATTAAACTTAACTGGGAGTGATGTGAATCAAAGCCTCCCAGATCTGGACCTCACTGGTTGTGCCCAGAGTATTTGCTGAACCACTGAATCATTTCTTTCACTGTTAGAGGACAATGTATGGGTCAGCCTGATACTGCTACAGCACACACCAGCCTAAAGCCCTCTGAGACACTGGGCAAAGAGCATTGAGTCAGCACTTCCCCACAGATCTTCAGGTGTTGGCCTTCGTGGTGCACAGTTCTTCAGGAGACAGCAAATAAAGCTGTGGGTGTTTGCTGAGCAGAGCAGGTCCGTGAGCTTCTAATGCCAGGCATTTTTCTGGTTTCCATCTCCCAAGTGATTTAGGATTCCCTAGCCATTCCAAATAACCCAGTAGCCATTCCAAATAACCCAGAACACCTCCAAGTCACACGAGGAAAGGGCCACCACAGCTCTGTAACAATCAATAAGAGCCAAAACCTTTTCAGAACTGTGTTTCTTCCTCCTGTTCTAAAAAACAAAACAAAAATGGTACAAAGTCTGTATGTGCTGTTCAGAAATTCACAACAGTTTCTGCCTTGCAGCCACTCACAAGGGGATGTCTCTCTCTTTGTGCTGTTACAGCCCAGCACCCCAGAGTGGGAATTTGTTCCATTCAGCCCAATTTGATGAAATCAAGATTTAACAGTGGCCATCGCTGTGCAAGAGCCAAGGGTTTCCCCGGAGCAGGTTAAATGCCAGGATCAAGGGGCTGTTCTCTGATAGATAGGTAGACAAAGAGCCAAAGATCTGGGGCAAATGCCTTTCGTGATGGTTTGTATTACAGCACTTTTTAAAAAGTAAAAGACAAAAAAGTCAACCAGTGCAGTCTGCTGCGGCCCACTGATGCTCAACGCTTCCTGAGTTTCCAGACTAAGCTGTGACAGGTGATTTTTTTCAGCCTAGGGTAGCTGGTTCTTCAACAGAATAAAAGGTAGAAAAAAATAAAATACAGTTGCATTTAATAACAGAATGACTCAAAGGTCTCAGGGAGAGGGAGTGGATTCTGCTTGGAGCTTGAAGTAAAAGTTTGCACTGGGATTCTGGAAACCCAGAATGGACTCATGCATCAAAGTTTGCTTTAGCCCTTTGTCTGTGAGCCAAGAACAATCCAGCCTGGTCTAGCCCTTGTCTGACCTTCCTGTGTATGCAGTAGGCTCCCAGGTCCATCTCCTGGGATGACTCTATGTTGTGCCTGTTACAGATAGTCCTTAAATGTTTTGTCATCTAAACAGTAACACGCTGTCAACGACGTTCCAGGTGTCAGAAGTTCTGTCTGAGGAGAAGTGTCGCCTGTCAGTGAGCGGCTGGTTTCACGGCCCGTCGGTAGCCAGACCTGCACGCCACCTTGAAGCTCCCTTGCCCAGGAGTCCCCACATCCCCTACGATGTGAGTAACGAGCCTACAGCTGCTCACCTGCATTTCTGCTTTTTCCATGTCCCTGGAATACCCGTTATGGGATGCACTGGTGCTTGGGGGATGCTTTAATCTTTAACAGAGAAGTTTTTCTTTTCTCTTTTTTATTTCCTCTTTTTATTTTCTCTCTTTTTTATTTCCTCTCTCTTTTTTATTTCCTCTGTTTTTATTTTTCTTTTTATTTCTTTCTCTTTTTATTTCCTGTCCATAAATTTGTAGCTGGTTTCTTTCTTGTGTATCTTTCTTGACTCCATACATTTTGTATATTTAGTGCAGAGTGTGCAGCAAATACTCATGGTTCAGTGAAATAAAGAAAGGACTGGGGGTCTGTGTGGGGAGGAATCCAGCCCTGTGGCCAGCTGGGTAAGGGGGAACTGGGAAATCCTTTTCACTTTTGTAAATTCAGCATTCAAATCCATTTCCCTTCCAGCATGAAATCTTGTATGAGTGGATCAATCTGGTTTATTTGAACATGGACTCCCAAGCTCAAATCCAGGAGGAATTTGAGGAGAGATCAGAAATTCTCCTGAAAGATTTTCTTAAGGTGAGTCCAGTGGTTCAATCTGATGTGGTTTGCCAGAACAGGTCACAGGGGTGGCAGGTACCACATGTCACACAGGCTGGGAATGGGCTTGTTTGTACAGCTGTCAACCAAAACTCCTTCTAGTTTCACTCCCTAAAGGGGAATGGACCAGATGATCGCCAGAGGTCCCCTCCAACCTCAACCATTCTGTGATTCTGTGGATGGATCCCTTCTGCCTGCCTGTCCACTGCTGCAGGGAGTCAAACATCATCAAAAGTCAAACCATGTGCTTCAGCATTCTTGTTTCCTGCAAGAAGCAAAGCAGAAGGATGAAAACACATCATCCTTCCTGCTTCCTAACCTTGTGGTGACCAGAGTGTCCTTCCTTGTCCCTCAGCTCTCACAGCTTAGCACTTGGGGAACTAAGCCTGTGACACAAATGACCCATAATGGTTTTGTCTGACTTGAAAGGCTGATTTACCTGGTTTATTGGGCATCTCGGTGACACTGAGTTCTCACCCAGCAGACAGTCCGAGTGGTGTTTGATACCTGTTGGTCACCTGTTGGCATTGAAAATTCATGATGCTCACCCAGCCTCTGCCCCTCAACTCTTAGGATCCTCAAACAAATGAGAGAAAAATTTAAGAGTGCCTTATCTGAGAGCAGAGCATGGCTGCTTCTAGCACACCAAGAGACACTTGGGAGCTACATGTTAAATTCTCTGCAGTATCTTTTCTTCTCCTAGAAAGAGAAATACCAACTGCTCTGTGAAGCTCTGGAGAACAAAGACATCCAGTGGAGTAGCCGTGGGCCTGCCAATAAAAGGTGGGGAATGACAACTAATGACAAAACAAGGGGAAATGGGTTTAAGCTGAAAGAGGGGAGGTTTAGATTAGACATTAGGAAGAAGTTCTTCACTGTGAGGGTGGTCAGACACTGGAACAGGTTGCCCAAGGAAGTTGTGGCTGCTCCTCCCTGGAAGTGTTGAAGGCCAGGCTGGATGAGGCTTTGAGCAACCTGGTCTAGTGGAAGGTGTCCCTGCTGATGGCAGGGGGGTTGGAACTGGATGAGCTTTAAGGTCCCTTCCAATCCAAACCATTCTATGATTCTATGATTCATTCTATGACAGTGTCCTGCACCCATTGATCTGGCCAAGCAGGAGCTGCCATGAGGACCTGTGGACCTGGTCCTTGTTGGTTCTCCACTGCTGATCTCTCTGCTGTCTTTCAGACTCTATGAGACAGCGGAGGAAGACAGTCTCCCTGACATCCTGAAGAAATTCCTGCAGTTCTTACGCTCTGAGGCCTTGTTTTTACTGCTTTCCAACTTCACTGGCCTAAAGCTGCACTTCCTGGCTCCCTCTGATGAGGATGAAGATGCTGGGGAAGGAAGAGCAGCAGACAGCGCTGGGCACAGCAGTCCCAAACCTGAGCAGGAGGAGACTGAGCAGCCCACTGATAGTGATCCCCATCAGCCAGACCAACCTGACCACGTCCCTGAAGCACAGGACAGCGAGACACAGAACAGTGAGTAGAGCAGGAACAGTGTGAAAGGACTTGAGCAGAATCCTGACATTAAGGGTGTCGGCAGCAGAACTCCCCGTGATTTTTACAGAACTAATATTTCACCTGGTACTGCAGCCAGCACAAGGCACCAGCACACACATGGGGCTTGAAACATGTCAGATTTGGTGTCTAAAATGAGTGACCATTGCAAAAGAATTTGGAATAAAATAATGACAAACTTGAAGATACTGTTTGGAACAGATGTCAGCGTGAAGTCTTAAGGGCGAGACTTCTGTAGGAGTTGAGGCACGGATAAGGAGTGGGGGGTGTTAATTGCCCAGTATCTTTTGTCAATAATTCCATGGTTTCTACCTCCTTCATATAAAGTAAATTCTCACATGAGAGACCAAACCAAAAGGAAGAAAGCAAACAATTCAGAAGTAAAAATAACTTTAGAATTAGAAAATCGATACCTAAAACTAGGATTTAACCTTTCCAAAAACACCGCCAACCTAAATAACCACTGAATTGTCAGCAATGAGGGATCATTGCTATCAAAGATTGGATTAATTGTGGATTCCTGGATTGGTGCTGGTTATTTAAAACAGCAGCTTGGAAATTTAAGGGTAGAATTTTTGAAAATGCACTGAGTCAGGCAAGTTAGTGGACACTGGAATAAAAGATAATAAAAGACCAAGTCCTGCTGCAAATCCCACCAGAACACTTCCCCGGTACAGAGGGTTTGTTTTTCTCATTTCTATGGTTAGTTTTTTTGCCTTTTCTATCTGCCATGTTCCCAACTTGTGATTTTAAATTCAACCTACGAGGAGTACATAGTTTGGGGCTGCATGGATTGAAAACTAAGTTAAACCCATGAGAAAAGGAAGGCTTCCCCAAATTCAGACATACCTCCTGGAATGGCAGGTGAAGAGCAAGCTCAGAGCAACATCCTTCTTCGCTGAAGCATCTGGTATTTTCTGTACTTCAAGAACAGAGAGGTCACTGGCTCTTGAAGTTTGGAATGCTGCTGTAAATCTTGGAGGGGGAACCTAAAACAAAAGGAAAGGAGGAACTGGTTAAACCAAAGCCCATGGCACCTGGGCCCTTTCAGAGGGCAAATCTTGGCCCACCTCCTCCCCATCGGTCAAAGGACAGAATTTAGAGCTGCCTCGAGGAAAACAGTTCACATGAGATCTGTGGGTTTAGTTTTTCCTCCCTTCACACTTTCCTGGGGCTGGCAAACATGACGTGGCAGCGCAGGGGCTCCCCCCTACATCCCTCGAGGTTGGCAGGCGTCGGCCGTTGTACAACGTCCCTGTTTCTCTGGTGTGTTTTCCCTCCTCTAGGCTCGGGTATCCCTGTGTGTGCGGGGGAGCTGAGGCGCTGGACCCACGGCCACTATACTCTGGTCCATGACACTCAAACAACAGAATTTGCTCTCGACCTGCTCTTCTTCTGCGGCTGTGAGGGTAAGGGGACAAAATACAGAGATACCAGACTCTCCTTCAAGGTTGCTATAAAAGAAGGACTTCTGAATTCTCAGCGGTGCTGCAGTAGCCAAAATTTCCCTGCTTTTTTCGTACACACAAGGGCTCTGCAGGCTTTATCCCAAACCTCCCTTCTGCCTGAGCCCTGGTTTAGCAGTTGCTGTACAAAGATTTGTTGAGTGTGGCCTTGGGATCAGCTCTGACCTTCCTGGCTGGTGCCAGGAGGTGGCGCTTGGGACAGGGGGAAAGGCTGCACCTCCCAGACCTTTCCTCTCCCTGAGCTGCGAGTGGCTCTGGGTGTGCTGGAGGGTCAGGTGCCCAGAATACCTGCTGAGTGTTCCATTTCACCCCTTTTCTCATCAAAATTATCACCTCCTTCCATTCCCAAAGCCTTAAGGGTTTCCAAAGTTACTTTAAGCATGTCTAGGCATTTTTAATTGATTGCTGGTTAGATAGCAGTGAAACCAAACATCTAAACCTAAGGATTTTGGAGCAGCTGAGCCCCACATGCCCGGCTGAAACCACTTGGCATTACCACACTGGTAATTATACAGATAATTTGCATATCTGCTAAGGCAAAACTGCTCTGCATGCGAGGAGGAGAGCGCCAAGCAACTTAAATGGCCCATCTGTGGAAAAAAAAAGGAAATCTTTTTTATGATTTGAAAAAAAAAAAAAGGGATTATCCCATATCCAGTAACTGTGGGGAGTGGGGTGGGAAACAGCATCTCCAGGAAGGAGCGTGGAGCTTTCTAAGAATCTTTTCTGTTTTAAGATTGGGATCCAGAATACGGTGGCTTTACTTCTTACATCGCCAAAGGGGAAGATGAAGAGGTAAGAACCTCGAGTTGACAGCTGCAAATCAGATCAGATTGTTTAGGGTGGAGAGGGATAATTACACTTTGTTGTAATGCCCACACCATCCTGAGGGTGCTCGGTATCGTGCCGGAGCCCTCCTGCCTGAATTACTGCTCCTGCCTCAGTATCAGTATGAGGGATAGTGCTGAGCAGTCATACTAAATCATCCAGAATCCCTTCCTGTCTAATAAAGGCTTCAGGTTGAGGATATTAAAATGAAAACAGTGACAGAGTTCATTTTCTAACACCAGCCCTTTGTTCTGACTGGCTTTTGAAATGGTTTTGTTTGGTTTTTCCCTAGGAATCCTATCAAAGCCATTTTTGTGCAACTAATTTCCTCCTTGCCTTTCATTCCTTCCAGCTGCTGACGGTGAATCCAGAGGACAACTGCTTGGCCTTAGTTTATAGAGACAAAGAAACGCTGAAGTTTGTGAAATACATCAATCACCGTAGCTTGGCCCGCCTGAAAAAGCATCCCAGCAGAAGAGGATTTTGGGATTTTTCCTTTGTCTATTACGAGTGATGGTGACCATGGAGTGGTGGTGGTGGGTGGGGGGACAGGTTTCTACCTGGTCTAAGCCTCGACAAACTGCTGCTGCTGCTGCCAAGTTCATCAACTTCATCACGCTGTACGTGAGCTGTACCCTGCTAAGGGGGGGGGTCCAGGTGACATTTTAATTAACTATACAAATGGAAATTCAATCTCCTCCTCCCAAGTCCTTTGTAACACACTCTCAACTGCTTGTAATGCTGCGGGGAGATTGTCACTGTCACACAACTCTGTCAGCTTTGCAGTGGTTCTCTCATGGAAAGAGCACCGTGGGATGCGTCTCTAACCTGTCAGGGTGAAAATTACAGTTGTACATTGCCCCAGGCTGATGAGTGATTTTATTAAAAAAGAAAAGAAAAAAAGGAAATGGGTCAGTTAAATGCTTCAAAGTCTGGTCGGGCAAGTTCTGTTACAAAATGCCCAAGATGTTTTCTGGGGCTTAACTGCGCTCACTGTTTGTACAAGCAGAAATAAAGGAGCCGCTATGGGAAATATGAGGTTTTTCCAGCTGCACAACTCTGTGGAGTTGGGAAGAAGACAGCGAGGCTGTAAAGCTGCTGGCACTAAGGAGGCCTTGGCGCTGGAACAAGGAGCAGGACTTTGTTGAATGCTGCACGGACAGACCCAGATGCAGCCCTTTCTCTGCAGCACTTACACACTGAATAGGGGAGAGAAGAGACCTGCTCCTGTGTCCTCTGCTCGCGTGGGTACATGGCTGGCTCTGAGCTTTGGCTGTGAAAGGGTTGTGGCTGCAGCCCCAGGACAGGGGAGGTGGGCTGGTGGTAACTCACCTCTCCTGGCTTGTCACCCACAGGCAGCAGGAGGGTCACCAAAGGTCTGCTAGGCTCCTACATGGCTTCTGTCACTGGAGAGCAGCTCAGGTCTTTCCAGGCAGCAGATACCCAGCTCCTGCAGTAAAAAGCACAAGGCAGCAGTGGTCTTGGTGCAATATTTGCCCGCAGTACGTGCGTTCAGCACCGCTCACCTGCCCTGTGCTCGCTGCCAGCGGGGCTGTGCCAGATGGGTGCCAGCCCAGCAAGGGGTGCTGCTACAGAGCTGTGCTGGGTGCTGCCACGGAACCGTGCTGGGTGCTGCTGCAGAACCATGCTGGGTGCTGTGGGAAGCAGCCAGACCTGCAGCCGAACACCTCGCTGGAGCCTCAGCCCTGCCCCACACCTGCCTGAAACCTGTTCAGGTTTGGCAAGGAATAGCCATGGGTGTGCAGCGAGCTGGGGAGAGCCTGTTCACGTTATTCCTCCTGCCTCTCCTGGGGTGGGAGAGGGGAGCTCTGGATTAGAGCCACTGCCCCTCCTGTTCCAGGCTTGTCACTGAGACCAGCGCAGCGGTGTAGGACCACAGCTGGCAGCTGTGAGCAGTAAGCTCAGAGCAAGGCTGCCTGTGTTGGCACAGGAGCACCCCACGCCCCTCAGCACAGCAGCGGGATGTCCTTCAGGCACGGCTTCATGCAGATACAGGAGCAGCAACCCCAGCTGTGATCCCAGCACACAAGGTTTGAAAAAGAAGCCACTGAAGGGTGAAGCTGCTGCCGTTGCTCCTCAAATGAAGGTGTCTCAACCCATGCCAATGCCAGAGCCAGGGGACAACGCAGCCGTGAGAGCCTGACATGCTGGGCTGTAGTTTCAGTGTCTGTTCAGTCCCAGACTAGGAGCAGCCGCTCGGTTCTCTGCACTGCTGGGCAGGGAGAGCAGCTGGGACATGGCTCCTCGGAGCTGCTATTGCAACACATCACATTCTGACTCGTCTCCCTAAGCACTGTCCAGGCTTTCTGGCCTAGTTTTAACCTTCCTTTGCTGCTGTTGTGTGCTACTTACAAAGACAAGGGGACGAAGGTAGAAACAAATCCTGATGTCAGGACTCCCTTCTCTCTGAATCTGGTTTCTGGGGCATTTTGCTGCCTTTCTGGGCAGCAGTTCTTGGGGAGAAAGCAGTTCTTATTCTGAGCTGCTCGAGTAGAAAAAGGCAAGTAATGAAGGTTTCAAAGAAAAAAGAAAAAAAAGGCAAAATTAATTGGGTCATTTTGAACAAAGGTGACAGATAGCACAGCTATTCACAGCACAGTCAGCTAGGCAACGTTGGGAGTGAGTTAATTAACAAAATGAAGTTACTCATTCTGCTGCATTGCCAACCTCAGAGTAGATCTTGGAACAGTCTCCCAGAAGACTGGGAAGAAGCTGGGCTCTCTGCAGCTTGCTGCTTTTTAATAATAAAAACCACACTAGAGGGCATGCCAGCCCCTGCCTGAGCTAGCCCCTATCTACCTGATCACACAGGGAACCACCCTTCTGCCTCGGGGTACTGAGATGAAGTCATTTAAGGAGCCAAATTTACACTTAGCAGTCCAAAATTTAAAAATCAACACATCTCTGCTCTCCCGCCCTTCCTGTTCAGTCCCAAAAGCAGCTGCAGGTACAGGGGAGAGACTCTGTTCGCTGAAATGTCAAGTGACATGAGGTACTTGCAATTCAGACCGCACCAATATCGGGAGCCCTCTCCAGAGATGCTCGTGCAGGATACAAATGTGGATTTACAATTAGGTGTAGCTGCTTGCAAAGTACTCTGCTCCTTACGGACAGCAATGTGAAATATATACATGCCCACCAAACACGGAAGCAGGACAATATAGAAAAACAGGATTGAGAGCAGTGTCTGAGCACAGCTGTGGAGTGTGAGCCACAGAACAACCACGGTGCCAGGCAGCACGGCCTCACACAGACATGGATCAGCTCAGCTGCGCAAGGACACGTGTTTCCCACCAGCCGGCTGCACCCCAAAGCCTGGCACTCGATGCAGGGAACCGGCAGCTTTCAGTTCCTGATGGGCTGTTAGACAAACGCTTCACAACTAATTTTTCAGGAGTTGGTGGTTACCAGTTTGCCAAGAAGCTGAAACCAGAAACGATTCAATACGGAGGAAGATGAAGCAGAGTAGCTGCACAGACCAGACATAGGAATGGTTTCGGCATCCAGGAACACGCAGCAAAGAAGTTCTGACAGTGGGTATCCAGTGAATTAATATTAATTAAGCTGAGCAGCAATCCACGGGACTTGGAGAAACACATCAGAGAACCTGTTGTCGAGTGTCAGTTCCAATTGTTTTGGTTTGGTTTTTTTAACTCCAAACTGGAACTTAAGACATTGAAAACTCCCCGTTACATAGATCCCCCTTCAGCAGGCACGGATCAGCACGGTGCTGCTGCCGCCTGCTCCCCAGGCAGCCAGGGGCTGCAGGAGGAAGGCTCCAGCCCAAACTGGAGTTTCAGGCAGGCTCTGAAGTGCCCCAGTGGGGCAGGACAGTGGTCTAGACCCCATCCCCAGTGCACATACCAAGGTGTGGTGCCATCTAAGCAGCCATGACCATGAATTTTTAGCAACACACAGCTCTCCTAGTGTGGTTTCAGATGTGATTCTGTACTCAACCAGCAGCTTAACTTGCTGTGACCCATTCCTCTCCCATACCCGAGAAGAGGATCACCAGGTGTTAGTCCTGGGCTGAATCACACCCACGGGGACTGTTTCACAGAGTCAAAGAATCCCAGACTGGTTTGGGTTGGAAGGGACCTCAAAGCTCATCCAGTTCCAACCCCCCTGCCATCAGCAGGGACACCTTCCACTAGACCACGTTGCTCAAAGCCTCATCCAACCTGGCCACAAACACTTCCAGGGAGGAGCAGCCACAGCTTCTCTGGGCAGCCTGGGACACTGTCTCACCACCCTCACACCAAAGAATTTCTTCCTAATATCCAGTCTAAACCTACTGATCTCCTGGTACGGGTTCAGCCCAGCTGGGTGCCAGACAATCGCTGCTGTATTTCAACAGCCAAACCTGCCACCACTTCAGTTTACGGGACGTGGATTTTTACATCTGGCAAAGAGAAAAGTTGTTTTTACAGGAAAATAAATGACAAAGTTATTGTTAGAAACTGAGCCAGAGGAAATCAGCCTTATCAGAGGTCTGGACTGTGTCTGCAGGACTGACCTTGCTGTCAAGAGCAAAACAGAGCTGGGACTGGAAGTGCCTGGTGCGTAGCCCTGAAAATCAGGCTGATGGGAAAAGCTGCTTTCTGACCAGGGCCACTCTCTTATCACTGAATGGACGGCACAAACACAAGCAAACAAGCAGGAGGATTTTGAAGATAAAGAACAAAAGAAGAGGTTGAAACAGTGGGAACAGGTACAGCAGGTGGCAGAAAGCCCTACGGTGCTTATGCCAGGAGACTGTTCCATAATCAACTCTTGAAGCTCACTTGCTTAGAACAGCATGGGTGGCTCACTGCCTTTCACCAAGGAGATGGATTTGACTAACAACCAGGTTCTTAAAAGGGTTCAGATCAGCTCCTGCTGCAGATGGGAAGTGAGGGAGCTCTGTGCCTTTGGCAGCACAGTTCTCTGTACTGAAGGGGCTGAGGCAGCAGCAAGAGGCAGTTTTGGGGATTCAAACACACAGCAAGAATTACATTCCCCAGTCAGCTGGTTGCACGCTCACCAGTCGCTCTGTGATGAAATGTGGGCTGCTGGCTTGGATTCAGTAGTGGCAAATAAGAGACAGACCAGTTACAGGATACAAATACTCCCAAGAAGCTGCCCAAGAACTCTGCTTCAAGGAGGTGGACTGCCTCCTCCCCGCCCACATTGCAAACACCCACCCATGCAGTGGTAGATGCCATGAATGCTGCAGAAGCTGGGAGCAGGGGCCCAGCCTCCATCCTGTGCAGGGTATTTTCAGCTTCTAGAAGAAATTTACTTTGGGAAAGATTCTAAAATATCTTTAGATCTAAGATACAGCCTTTACTGTAATATTTTAATCCAATTCTAAGAGATTCCACAATTAATAAACAGATTTGAGCCAGGAGCCAAGAGATTTTTCAATACCTTCTTCTTTTGATCCCATGAAGCACTGCCAGCTCTTCAGAAGCACGCACCAGCTTGGGTGTGTAGTTTGTTTTTGTTGTTCCTGAAATGCACCCTTGCCCACCTCAGTA